TTCGTTCTCAAAACATTGAAGATCCCAAGGCATGATCCAGTCTCTCGGTGTTCAAAACATCAATGTGGAGATCAAATGGAGATCGAAAAGAATACTCGGGATGAAAACATGGTGCGTCTGTGGGTCTGTGTTCGGCGCGCATATAAAACCTACTTCGCGGCGACTATTGAAGTCTCACTCTTTCACTAATAATCCAGCTTTCAATTATTCAAAAACTGTTGCTGTTTCTGGGCATGGAGACTGAAAAGTAACCAAAATTGCAGACATGTTGTGTGAGCGCCTGCCTTCGTTCGTTTTGAACATAAAGTCACCCTCCAACGACCATCAAGGTCTCCCTCCGGTCTCGCTACACTGACATTCGGGGGTTCAGAATAGCGGCAGTTCGCCCTCATGAAAACCAAAAGAGATGTTTGATGATGTCATGCGGTGCGCTTGCCGGTCTCTGTGCGACTCGCACCTAAATCCTGCCTTCTGGCTGGCGTCGAACTATCACTTCTACATCGACCTTATGGCTTCCGTTGGTTCAGAATACGTGCTTGTCCTGATCATGGAGAGTGAAAGACAACATCGACTGCTATATGCGGTGCGCCTGTCCGTCTCTAGTCGGGCGACGTGTAGAACCCGCCATCTGATGGATCAAATTCCATTCATCTTCCAAAATATCCCAGACTTTACTTTTCCAAACTTATGCAAGAGAAGGTCGACGAAGCAAAACGCAGTTACCACAATAGCATGTGTTGGGCGCTGCTCAGCCTCCGTTCCGGCCGCGTATAAAACCCAAGGTTGCACGCTTGTGCTCTCATTCCTCGACCAAAACGTTGCGGGATTCACTGTTTGAAAACTACAAGAGTACCTGGGATGAGAATCCGAAAAACGCGAAAGTCAAACAGATGGTGTGAGCTTGTCGGCCTCCCCGTTGTGCAACAGCAAAAAGCAGAGCGGAATTCCTCAGGGAGAAAGGACACATGAATGTGATTATCTGCGTAGCTGTTCGGAAGCTTCGAAAAAGGCTCTGCGCTGAATTATGATTGCGGGAGGGTCACAGAGAACATCACCCAGATCTACTGTCCTTTTGGAGGTTTGGTAACGCGTACTGGCTTTTTGAGTTGTTCGATATACCATCTCGTGGAAACTTTATACTGCCCGGGTGGGGATCGCGCTAGGCCTGCGTGTATAAGAACATATCCGTGGGCTGTAGAATCTAACTCCTTACACTTATCAAAAGACTTTCTTTTTCGAAGGCTTACACCGACCAGTTGATGATCTTCCGAAAGAGTCTGGTCGAGCTGGCATGGTCCTGCTTCGTCTGTGGGTGCAAGGGAACAGTGGACTGAGACGTCTTCGAAATGACACCAAAATACTGGCTTGGAGTTTCGATGAGTTCAGGCGTCCGGGGAAGTTGATCCAAATCGAAGAGCTAAGCGCCAATGGGTCGGCTGCTTGCTTCCGTTCAAAGGCCACCGTAAGGATGCACACGTCTTTCGAGCTTTGACATTTGGGCCAGGAGGCGTATAAAAACTGACGTTGCGCGAGCATATCTCCTTCTCTCTCTACATCAGCGCGACCTGGCCAATGTAATCAAAAGTTCTACGAAAAATCGATGATGGAGTAGAGTGGTTTGAGGAGAGTCTTGTGCTTCTGACTTGTTGCTTGACCGGAATCACCGGATGATCACGCGATACATCGCGGACTGCCCAGGTGGACATGTGTGGAGATGTGTAGCTGCCAGAACTTTGCAGAGCATCCTGTTCTTCTATTTTACATCTACAAGATACTAATGTTGGGAATATGAGCCGTTGAGACTGAAGTGATGCAAGAAGATTGGAACGTATAGAGGCGGCGCGATGTGCCGACGGACCTCGCAATATCCAGTTATCATTGGATATTCCGCGGAAAACAAGTACTCGATACGAATCGTTGCGATACAAACAAGTCGGGAATACCTGGAGAGTGAAATGACGAGGAAGACATGTGGAACTAGCGTCACACGTGGCGACGTTTTGAGGTAACCTTTTGACACATGGTCTAGCGCAAAGACGTCACTTAGAGTTTCCATGTCACCGTTCGGTCGCGGCCTTCCAAGGTTTGAATTCGCCGTTTCGGCAGTTCCTGTGAAGACCACAATCGATCAGCTGATGCGCTTACATTGCTGCTCGCTCCCGCGGGGTCACCCTAGGAATGATCTGGCGGGGTAAGGCTCAACGATCAGGCAAACATCGAATTCCGCTTCCAAGTCGCACTCACCTACTGCCACCTCGGTCAACATCCAGCCGACTTCTCGGTCAAGATGCCATCCTGAAGTCGAAGCTTTCGGAGCTTAGCCTGCCACGTCTGGCATAGCGCAGCGCTAGAGCCGTTCCTCGGATCAGCGGGACCCGCTAACGATCACCCGTACCATACTGCGAGTAGGAAGATCGGCCCTGGTTTCGACACACCAAGGCACCACCACTGCACGTCTTCTGTCAGTGTCCGCTACTTGCATTGTAGCTCTCTCGACGAACTGTTCGTGCCGCTGTCGGACCTGCCTGTCCCGCGCTGAGTTGAGTAATGACTTGCTTTTTCGATAATTTCCGACCTCACTTCCACATCCTCACCATCCGTTTGTGGTACTTCCACCGACGCTGCACCTCCCCTTGTTCCATTGCCGTGCCGAGGCTCGATGCCGATCGACGGCAAGGAGTAATAATTGGGGTCTCTCCTTGCGGCAGGCTCCAAACCACAAACAGCAGGCAAGTATACCGAACACGGTAAGGCCAACAATCCGCGGACCCGCAGGAGCGATTCAGGACCTGCGCCTAGAGACTGTGAGGCGCACCGGGTGGTCCAGTGTCCACCATGGTGCAGTCGCTCCCCCGAGGCACGATGAATGCGTTTTGCCATGTCATTGGAAGTTTTGAGACTCAACCCCCACTTCCTGGCTGTTTCGAGTAGACGGCATAGGATGGAATGTTCCATGCCGCTTCAGCCACTATCAAGACTGAGGAGTTTCGAAAAGCCATGCCGTGCCACCTTTCGCCATCGGTATCCTGGGATCAAAGATACATATGACATATGCGTTTGACACAATGGCGTCGACGCATGAACAGAGACACCGAATACCCGTCACGACACCTCACCCGCAATCCCCGTTCCTGGTCATGAAGTCATCCAAATCGAGAAGGTAGAGAAGATCTCTACCCACTCCAGACGGTGACAGCCGTTAGGCCATGTGACGATCGAGGCGCCTACGGGATAGACGGCCACGATTATGACTTAGTGCTCCGAAGCGGATGCAGGTTCCGTCCTATTCGGTGTAGAGGTGCAGCCTGGGGATCGGCGAGTGAAACGCGCTAAGAATGTCTGCCGAGGTGAGGTGGGATCTATGGATAGTAGAGGATGCTTTTTCCTATTACACACGGGTTGTCTATGGGTGGAGGGTGGATATATAAGGCAGAGAAGATCCGCTGTAATATCGACACCACCCTGACGATAAGATCATCAGCTCTACTTCTCTCACTGTCATACTCCATACATCCATCCAGATACCCATACCCATCTTCACACATCGACCATGCGTTTCTCCACCATGCTCCCCGCAGCCTCGCTGCTCGCTCTCTCCACCGCTGCCCCCGTCGACAACCTCTCCACCCGCGCCGCATGCTCGTCTTACACCATCATCAATACCCGCGGCACCGGCGAGATCCAAGGCGAATCCTCCGGCTTCCGCACCATGAACCGCAACATCCAGTCCGCAGTCTCCGGCGGCAAGATCTACAACACCGTCTACGCTGCCGGCTTCAGCCAGAACAGTGCAGCTGGTACCGCTGATATCGTCAACAAAGTTCAGTCTACACTACGCACAAACCCGGATGAGTGCTTCATCCTCGAGGGATACAGTCAGGGTGCTCAGGCGACGGTGAACGCCATGTCTCAGCTCACTGGTGCGAACTTCGATGCTGTTAAGGGTGTTTTCCTCATTGGTAACCCGGCGCATAAGAGTGGACTGAGCTGCAATGTGGACAACAACGGCGGTACTACGACGAAGAACGTCAACGGGCTGTCTGCGGCTCTGAGCAGGGGCATTCCGGATAACTGGCAGGGCAAGACGCTGGATGTGTGCATCTTTGTAAGTTATCCCTTGTTCCGTGAAAAGGGAAATGGCGGCTAACGATGATAACAGGGCGATGGTGTATGCGATACTACACACGGTCAGGGTATCAACGCGCAGCATCTTCAGTACCCCAGGGACACTCCCACGCAGAACTTGGGTACCCAATATGTTACTAAGCAGCTTGGCGGCAGTGCTTAGATGACTTGGAGCCTATGGCTTTGGGCGCATTACATTTCGGTTTTGTTTTATTCCGTTTTGTGAGGGGTTGGTAGGGGTATGACTTTCATGTATATATATCTATGAGAATGAATTGGTAACAAGAAGCGCTTCATAACTTGTCAGTAAGAGTGAGACGATGCCAGATATCCATCTCCCATGGGAGTATCAGTGTTGCTCAGACTGATCTTTACCACCCACTCCCAACATACAGTACAAACAAGCACTCCTGCCGGTTAAACTTCGCCTGACAGCAGTAAGCACTAGCAATTGCCGTACACTACATCCTCGTTAATCCCCGGCCCACCTACTCTCACGATCGCGAGGAACAGAGTTTCAGTTCTTTCGGCCCTACAAACGAGGAGAACCAAGGGTATACATGGTAAACCTGGTGTCAGGCCACCCAGATCACCATCACGACACTCGATTTGGTCGGAGACAGCTAGAACACCACTAGAAGCACGACACCGGGCGCTAGTAACTTGCATGAGAGAGATGTAGGGCTGAAGAAGGGGTTATGCATGTCCGTTTGGATGGAGAAGTCGGACAATATCGGCAGATGGGTTGTTTGTATGCTTTTCCGACTCCTGAAACACACACGAGATACACGATGACTGAATCCGCCCATTCAAATAATGGAAGGGATGAGAAAGACGTTGTATACTCTTCGTAAAGCTCTCTCGGTACGGACAGCCTACTGAACCCTGAATACGGGATATTCATCTCCGACCTCCAGCGGAATCTTGTTATAATACACCTGACTTGCCTCTCCCTCTGGTTCCAACAGCGTAAACGCATACCCAGCGTTCTTTTGCTTAGTATCGACGTAGAAACCGCCAGCCGGTACTGTGACTGCTCGCTGCGTCGCGTTAGTCGTGACTGTGGTACCGGCAATGCCTTCAAATTTCGTTTCTGCGAGCTCAGCCTTCGTGACCACGAGCGCTTCGACAGTTCCGACAAAGTCTTCTTCCAGGACGTCGACGGTGACACCAAGGATGCGGAGACGCTCTGCTACATCGGCCCAGGCGCGTGAGAAGACGTAGGCTTTTGGGCGGGGACGAGAGAGGGTGACGATGGATGGATCGCTGTTTCGGGAACAGACTGGGACGTCAACAATCGCGCCGCTTGATTCGTCGATGAAAGGAACTGTCTTGTTGGTGATGCGCTGTTCGTAGGTTACAACGATCTCGTCTTTGCTCTCGATAAACGCTTTACGTCCGGCTTCGATGGTGCTGTATACATCGTCGAACTCGTCGACTGCTTTGTTGAGGATAGTTTCCAGAACGATAACGTGGGATGCGACACGGCGTTGAAAGTGCTGATCCGCGATAGCAATGCCACGCGTTTCAACAAGGAAGGTCAGGGCTTGGTAATTACCAGCACCCTTGTGATTTGCCGCAGCAAGCGCATCAGGCTCTTCGATCGTTATCGTACCGTTTGCGAAGCTAGTGGTGAAGTATGGGAAGATCCTAAGTTCTTTGCTCTGGGCAACTGAGAATACGTCGTCGACAAATTCCTGGTTCAACGCTCGGATGCTGGGATTGACGTTTTGGTTCTTGTTGGCAGACACTAAAAGATCCTGCGCGCGGATGTACTTCTCGGCTACCAAGTTGCCGCCTGTGTACTCATGGTCGTCGATGAAGATGTGCGGATCGAACTCAGACTGCAGCTTCCTGATAGCTCGTGTCTGCTGTCGCTCGAGCACCGCATGATCGCGATTGGGATCGTAGTTGGAAGCCAGTTGTCGCTGTAGGTACTCGACGCCATCGACGTTGTAGCGCGGGAGAATCAGCAGATCAAGCTTCTCTAAGATTTTGGCGCTCCATTGGGAGTCTTGCGCAAACTTTCCAAGCAATGCAAGCACGCCCTCGTCGCCTGCAGGCTCATTCCCATGTTGGCCTCCCTGAATCCAGATCCGTAGTTTCTCACTGCTTTTCTTGCCATTTGTCAATGTGACGTATGGGATCGCGCGATCTTCCTCGGATCTCAGTTCGCTGTTGTAGGTGATCCATCCGTTGCGCTGAGTAAGGCCTTTAACGAAGGTTTCTGTTGAAAGTTAGCAATCCCAGCAATTCAGATATTGTGGCCTTCGGGAAATACCCAGATCACGCTGTGGAGTGGGCCCGGAGGTGCCGTTCGTAAATGTCGCAGGTACATTCTCCGGATTTATGAAAGCCGGCGATAGCAGCTGGATGCCATGGACGTCGGGAAAGTTGGCCGCCACTTGGGGTGCATCGACAATTACCGGACGTGTGTTGCTGGCATATCGATCCGCGATGGTCGTAGTTGCGTAGAGTGGAAGTACAGCTAAGACTGTCTTGTATGAGGCCCTCATGATGATCGATGCGTTCACAGTCGACGTCCTCTGGAGTCCGATGCTAATGACCTAGTAGATGGTTCGAGAGGTACTGCGGAACACATCGCCTGGAAAACTGTAGGCGATGCATGTTTATAAGTCAGTCTTTGACACCTTTCCGGTAAGTCGTGATGTGTATGCATAAGCACGTTATCAGGCATGGATTAGGAGCGGATGTCTGCATCCATGGATACCTCGCAGCCATCTTAACGTCTTTTCAGCTGCTAAAGTCTTGGTACAATATCGAGCTTCCTTTCGCGGTATAACCTCAACATGACGTGAGTGGGGACGGACGGCAGTCGAGAGGGCGGAGAGGAAGAACGCCTACCGCCTTCCTCCGCTCCCGAGCTGTTGGGGCTTGGCAGATGGCGTCATGCAGATCTATCGGTATCAACCCCACGATGGGATCATGCCTACACAATTCGATCGTAGAACATCGAGCTTCAAACATCGAATTACTTCTGCAGCTTGATAACCACCAAACATCCGACCGTCTCTCCAATCCTCACTCCACATCAAGCGGCGGCGTCCCCAAAACATTAACAAACCTCCCACTCCTCTCCACCTCCATAACCCATTGCCTCCAAGGCTTAAACACAATCCAGCGATTCATCTCACTCGTCGCTTTTCTCTCTTCCGCACTCAAATACTTCACACCACCTCCAATTCCCTCACCGCCACCAACACCAGCCAACAACAGCGCCTTCGTCTGCACTCTTGCATTACTCGCCGCGTAATATGCGAAATCCGTGACCTGCTCTATCCCATCGCCCACTGTAACGAAGCCATGACTATACATTAGAACAAGCTGTCAGCAGATATACCACCATGCGTTCATCGCCTAGGAGACTACTTACCCGCGCATCAAAACCGTCGTATGTAAAGGCAACGTAACCCTCGTCTCATTCCTCCCAAACATCTCCGCCAACGCTCCACCCAACCTCACACTATTAACAAGCATATCCCTCGGCTCCCCCTCCTCATACACATCCCCAATATCAAAGTTCGGTACCTCCCCACCCAGAAACCCAGCCATATGGTACACAGGCTGCATGCCTCGCATTCCCTTTCCATCTCCCTTTCCATCACCATCTTCATCCTCATCGCCAGCAGAATTCAGAACAGTATACGGCAACACATCCTCACTATGACTATGCACAACGACATTAACATCTGGATATCGCTTCAGTATCTCACTGTGGATATAGCGTTCTGCGTATCCACCAACGGTACCGGGTAAGGGCGTGCCGTCGGCGATGTTGTATTCGCCTATATCAGCGGGGGAGGAGACGGTCGCGGGCCCGATTTGCAAAGCGATGAAGAAAGTGGTGTTTGTGTTTGGGTTGCGGACGCTGATGTGGCCGAAGGGGTCGAGGACGGCGTGGTGGGAGAGGATGTGGTTTGCGGTTATGAGGCTGGATAGGAGGGCTGTTGTGTTCTTCATCTTGTCTTCATTCAACACAATATGGGATGTGAGTCGGTGTTAGCAAGGTAGCCGAGAGTGGAAGGGTGTTGAATGGAGCTATGTGATCAGCGCAGGGATTGTTGGTAGATATACCCAGGTAACTGGGTGGACACACGTCTAGCAGGTACGCATCATCGCACAGCGAGGATCTCCGGATTATGACCCGTAGCGCGATGTTAGCGGTAGCCTATGATTGATCGGGTGGATGGCTACCAAGACGTGATTACCGTACATGCGCAACGTTCTCGGGGAGTAGAAAAGATGTACTATTACAAAGATGTATTTGTTCGGAGATACAACATTATTCTACACGGCTACGAAATTCATAATTAGATGCATAAACAGAGATGCATCCGATGGTGAGAAGTGGTATATAGCGAAGCACGCAAGATCGTGCTGGAGTTGGGCGGTAACATCCGTTCCTAGATGAGAGGGGATGCTCTGTCGGCATTGAAGGGTCAAAACGTAATGGTCGATGTTGTGAAACACCATTGTCGGGACGGCAAGCTCCATCCGATGGGCTGCGAATAAGCTTCATCATCGACCGCCATTCATGGCGCCCTGATTGAACTCGCTTGTTCCGTGGCCGGTGTTATTTGAGAAATCCGGAAGTACACCGTTCATACTGATGCCATCCTCGTATCCCGAGAAGCCACCAGTCATATCTGCCCAATCCCATTCCAGTGTCATTGGCATCTTCCATAGGTCTTGTGGAACGTTGTTCAGAGTCTGATCGAACTGGCCCATGCCGGCCATGGCATTGATGTTTGCGTTTACGCCGTTAATGTCACCACCTGTTGTCATTGGTAGGCTTTGTGATTGCTGGAGCATTTGCGCGGTGATTCCTGGTGAGCCGTATTGGCTCATTTGGATGTTGGGTTGTAAGGAGTCGTGTGTGAAGTTCGGTGAGAAGGGGAATGGCTGAACATGTTAGCTTTGGACTAGCACCACGGTGGTGTAGCTTACCTCATTGAACCCATGGAAATCTGGGTTGAAGATCATGCCCTCTTGTGTGGGGGGATTTTGCGGAGTCGTCACCTGCTGAGGTGGGGACTGTGGGTTACGACCTGTCGAAAGAAGCTCAGCCGCGGTTGCTTCGATCTGAGCATCCTGTTCGCTGTCACCCTGCTTCCTCTTCCGCCGCGATGCGTGTTCGCGATCTGCCTTCTCCAGCACGATAGTAGCAATGCGCTCAAACTCGGCGCAAACTGTGCACATGCGCTTAACACTGCCACTACCTTGGTCGTCGTTCAGCATGTTCAGGAAGTTGACGACCAACTTCATTAGCTTGAGATCTGACCGCGATCGTGTGTCTTGTGGATTTTGTAGGATGTTGGCGAAGAGCGTGACCAGAGCGGTGACAGGGAAGTAGATGACCAGCCAGACACACGACAAGTCACCTTTAGGTATGTACTTCAGGAGATGTATCGAAGCTCGAGCGGCTTGGACACACAATTGGGCGGACATGAAGACTCTGGGGTTCAGAGGGCGAGCGTTGAGACCTTGTATCGCGAAGTTGGATAATCGACTGGTCCAGTATCCGTGATGCACGCTCATGCGGTGGATAGTGGTCAAGCAGTTGTAGTATCCGAGATGTAGCACTGCGACCTGAAGGATGAGCGGGGTGTGCGATGCCTTGATGTCGTGCTCTGGTCTGAATTCCAGTGGTATGTCGTCTTTCCAGGCTTCCAACTCTTTGTCGAGTTCGCCAATAGTATTGAGTAGCTCACCATCGGTCTGCTTGGATGCCTTGACGGAATAGAGGCCCTTGTAGACTTTGCTTTGGATCACGGAGAAGGTGCACATGAGACGGAACAGGTTCATGGTACCCTTTCCATCAGCGAGCGGGATGTTGCCGATATTATCTGGTGGAGTCTCGCTCGGTAGCTCGACGTTCATGTCGTCGTCGTCTTGTACAGGTGGTCTGCCCGACCGCAGACAAATACTTGATGATGTTAGTCTGCATACTGTTGGAAGATCAGAAAGACTCACTCTTTGTCCAGCATGTAGGCAATCCAGAAAACACGCCTCCGTTGCTCTACCTCGGCAGCGTTGAGACTGAAGTTGGCACCCTTCTTGTGGAGACCGATACTGTGTGCCAGTCGCATGGCGGTAGCCACGAAGAAGTAGGTAGGCTGTGGATTTGGGGTTCCGAGGAGGAAGAGACCCTGAACACGTTAGATGAAAACGTCTTCAAAGTCCGTTATCACATACCACTCCCAGCAAAGCCTGAACACTCAAAAGATCGGTGTTGCGCATGGTAAGCTCTACCATGACACTCATGGCGTTCTTCAGGTACTGCCATGCCTTTTCGTCTTCTTCTGCTGGGACCAGATTGCTCATGACGCGCAACCGATGTGCAAAAGCCAGAGCGACGTTCAGACTGGCCCACCAGCCGGATCCTTCGTATGGGTCTTTCGAGTAGTGCTTGTCTACCAGATGCATAAAGGTCGGTTCGTGGAACAGCGGGAACATGCAGTTGAAGTTCTCGAAGTAGTCCTTGAGTAAAGACAGAGCCTCATGCTTGGGCGGTAGTTGTTTGTAGACGCGGCGCTTGAAGATGTCCTGGAAGACGTCGGGCCGCCATTGGATCCACTTGTTGTCCTCGACGGCGGCTGTGGAGATCATGTCGCGGAAGGAGTTGTCGCCGGTCTTTTCGTTGACCCATTGTATGCCTTTGGGCGAGAAGATAGAGAAACCGGAGGAAGAACCTGGACTTGTTAGCGTTGAAGACGACGGATATGGAGGACATACCGATATATCTGGTCTCTCCGCAGTTGTTCGTCACCAGGGAACACATCATCTCGGCGAGCGCGTCCTCTTCCTTGTCTTTGTCCTTGGTGGTGTCCATCTCTTCCTGGGGCTCTGGTGAGGCGGTGCCACTCCTCGGACTGGGGAGAGCTGGCTGGGCCGGTGTGCCATTGGCGGTCGAGTGACCTGTTGTGGGCGGTGCCATGGAGGCGCGTCTGTCGTCGATGCTATTCCGGGGTGTAGCGGATCGGCCGGCTCGTGCCTCCAGCCGCCGCTCGAGTGTGGCCAGGTCGGTGCTACCATCGTCGTCTTCGGGCAGGACGCCTGAGAGGCGCATCAGCGACTCCATGCGCGCCAGTCGGTTCTCCAGACCCTCGATGTACTTGGCGCTGTGCACGGTCAGTATGCCATGTGCGCAGCACGTCCATCGCACCTACCCCTTTGGTGGTTGCCGCTTCTTCTCGACCTGGGTGAAGATGCACTCGGTCTTGTAGTTCTGGCAGTGGGTGCACGAGGGCATCTTGCCGTCGCACTTGATCTTCTTCTTCCGGCACATGTCGCACGCCTGCATCCTGTCAGCATGCCGTCGTCACCTCATATCCGCGCCATGTACCCGTGCGATGCGCCGCCGCTTGGGGTCGCTGTCGTTGTGGTCGTCGTCGTCGAGGTTGAACATGTTGCCCGGCGGCATCTGCGACGGGTCGTAGGTGCCGCTGCCGAACAGACGCGGCGGCGGAGGGTTCATCATGGGCGGGCCGGTGGCATAGAAGCCGTTGGGAGGGGGGTTCATGGTGTATTAGGAGGCGCTATGTCGTCAGTCGTGAGGTCGTCGGGCAATTGGGCCCTCGCGAGTATCCGGGGCCTGGTGGTGTTTTGTGAGGGCGGAGGGGTGTCGTGCTGGGGGTCTGGAGGTCTAGTGCTGAGCAGGGTGAAACGCTGCCGAGGATCGCATCTACAGGGCCCTGGGGGTGGGTGTCGCAGACTCGCCGAGTGTCGAATCGTGGCCGACGGTGAACGGGTGAGGCAGAAAGCTTGTTTGGCCTGTTGCAGATGCGCAACGCCCGCTAAAAACGGCAACACGAGGATGGCGGTAAGGGTGATTAGTCGGCGGGCAGCAGCTGAGACGACACCTGAGGCAGCTCTTCTCCGCGTCTACTGTCAATAACTACGGCCAGCCTAGAGAGCCGCGTCGTCCGTAGTTCGCGCGTCCAGCCCGCCTTAGTCAGACACGAGCCACGCCAGCTGGGCTGCAAACGGGCTAGCAGACATGACGTTGCGATATTGCTTCTCCCACGCGTTTGGCAGGTGAAGAACTTTATATGCCCTAGCAACTTTATCAATACAGCTTATTCCTTTGACATTCACCAGGCCAGTCTAGAGCATACTACTCTGTAAGCTTAGAGTTGTTCATTCTGCAGTCTAGAGCTCATCTGTAAGCGCCTACCAAAATAGTACGTCAGCATTCCTGGTCCCTTCCGCTTACAACGCTCGCGTACCTGTCGCTTGCCGGGATGCGCTATGGGCACACCGCTACCAAGAGACACATGCCGAGCGGCAGCCACACGACAACGTCGTCCACCCTGCTGCGCCACCACTCCCGTCGCATCCTCGCATCTCCGCCCCTCCTGACATTCCACCTGCCTGACACTCCACTTGAACCTCTGACTAACTTTCCAGATCGAGGCTTGCACCACTACCCGCCATGGCACCAATGACGGTCGAAGAGCTGCAGCAACATCCCGAATTCAACCACACCATCTGGGATCTCAAACCAGAAAAGAAAGGCAAGGCCGTTGTGGCCAAAGACCGTGGCGGTCCCCTTAACATCGCTTACGAGGTCCACGGCCATGGCGACAGACACCTCGTGGTAAGTCGCCCCACTTTCGGTATTAATATCTGCTCCAACATGATGCGCTGCATATCACGCCAAAGAAAGCTTGTTCTTGACCGGGATGCATTTGTAATGTTCCTCTTCTACCAATCCACGGGTACCGGCACCCTGTCACCGTTTCGTTTCAGTCACA